CTTGTGCTCCGTGATGAGGTGGCGGCTTCTAGGCCCACTGAGCTGGCGCAGGCCCGCCCGCGCCCTGCTGTGGGCCCAGGTCCCGCCTCCGCACTGAGCTGTGTGTGGCCCCGGACCTCGGGTCCCCGTGAGCTGCCGGGCAGAGCCGTGGGCAGGCAGGGGCTTCCGAGTAGGCTCCAGGCCCCGCAGTGGGGGGCGTCCTCCCGGACCCGCGGTGACTCCCGGGGCAGGCAGGCAGGCCCGGCACGCTCAGCCCGCACCGCCATGCCCGCCAGGTGCTCGAGAACCGGACCAAGGACTCCAAGCTGGAGATGGAGGTGCTGGAGAACCTGCAGGAGCTCAAGGACCTGAACCAGCGGCAGGGCCCCCTTCCTGCGGCAGCACCGCCTGTCCGAGGAGGAGCGCCGGCGGCAGGAGCAGGAGGACGACGAGCGTGAGGCCGCGTGAGTCGGGCCGCCCCAGGCCTTCCTCGTGTGTCCCCTGATCTCGCGGCGTCCGCGGCGGGTCTCCGTGGCCCTCCCCAGGTGCAGGGCTGGGCTGTGCGGACCGAGGACTGAGCCGCAGTTGTCCTCGGGGCCGAGGGTGGTCATGGCCAGAGGCCGCAGCAGTCGGCAGAGGGTTTGGAGTGAACCCCGGGGACCAGGGAACCTGGAATCCTCTTCAGGGAGTCACGGGCCACACTCCACCCCCAGCCCTGAGCTGTGATGGGCCACACGTGGGAGGCAGCCCCAGGGCAGACCAGGGACAGTGTCCAGGCTGTCATAGGGTCACGGGCTCTGCGTCCCGCCTGCAGGGCCTTGCTGGAGGAAGCCAGGAAGCGGAGGCTGCTGGAGGACTCGGACTCTGAGGACGAGGCCGCTCCGGCCCCACCCCGCCCAGCCCCCAGGCCCAACCCCACTGCCATCCTGAACGAGGTGAGGAGGGCCTGGGGGAGCCCGGGGTCGGCGGACTCTCCCTTGGCCTCACCGCCCACTCTCCTATGGGAGCCCCCCAGGCAGCCAAGGGAGGTGTTATTTACAGGCCGGCAGGTGTTGTGGTTGGGGCCCTCGGCCTCCACATGGCCGGCCACGGTTCAGGTCCCAGACCTGGCAGCTTGCTTCTCACTCACCCCCCTCTGGTGACCACACATGCCCTACAACAAGTTAAAAAGTCATAACAACATTGAATAAATAGCCAGTTAAAAAGACAGAAACGGAGACCAGCAGTTGGCGTAATGCTGTGTGGCTGGACTCCCACGTAGTCGACCGCGGTTCGCGTCCCGGACCCGGTGGCTTAAAACATGCCAGGCGCGTGTGCATGCGTGCCCAAGATCCCGGAGGAGAAGGGATTGCGGCGTGGCCATCCCCCCTGGGGGTGATTTCTCGCTTTCTGTCTCTCTCTCTGTCTCTCTGTCTGTCTGGCGAGCGCACGCGCCCTATAGCAAAAACCTCTCCCCCAAAAAAAGAATAATAGTAAGACACAAACGTTATTTTCGGAACAGGTGCGCCCGTGGGTCTGTAGTTTGCCAGCCCCAGCTAAGCTGCCACATGGCCGGCCACGGTTCAGGTCCCAGACCTGGCAGCTTGCTTCTCACTCACCCCCCTCTGGTGACCACACATGCCCTACAACAAGTTAAAAAGTCATAACAACATTGAATAAATAGCCAGTTAAAAAGACAGAAACGGAGACCAGCAGTTGGCGTAATGCTGTGTGGCTGGACTCCCACGTAGTCGACCGCGGTTCGCGTCCCGGACCCGGTGGCTTAAAACATGCCAGGCGCGTGTGCATGCGTGCCCAAGATCCCGGAGGAGAAGGGATTGCGGCGTGGCCATCCCCCCTGGGGGTGATTTCTCGCTTTCTGTCTCTCTCTCTGTCTCTCTGTCTGTCTGGCGAGCGCACGCGCCCTATAGCAAAAACCTCTCCCCCAAAAAAAGAATAATAGTAAGACACAAACGTTATTTTCGGAACAGGTGCGCCCGTGGGTCTGTAGTTTGCCAGCCCCAGCTAAGCTGCCGAGACAAGGAGATGCCCCCGTCAGAGCCGCAGAGCCGGAAAGTCAGACTATCCTGGGGGACGTCTGGTCCCAGGGCTGCCCTGCTCCACGCTGCCCTCCAGGGTGACAGGAGGGGTGGACGCCCAGAGCATTGAGACCCCCCCCTCCCGTTTTTGGAGACCACGTGGCTACATCCAGCTGCAAAGGGTCCTGGGAAACGTGTCTGCTGGAGC